TTTTGCCTTTATATAGCCAAAATATTAGTATTAAAACAAGTAAGCATGACCGACTATATAATGGCCTAAACAAGTTATTAGTAGTGTAATTTATTTTTGTGTAATAAAGCATTTACGTTGACTTTTAGCCTATTTGTGATATATTTCAACAATTTATCTATTAGATTAAACTTTTTGAAATGAAGGCTAATATTGATGCTAGGACTTAATTCTTATAAAATTTAGCAGTGTGAGTTATGTTTATATAAAGGTTATTTGTGCCGAATTTCACCATGATATTAGTATTTATAAGGGAATTTTGGATGGTCAAGAATTTTGGTATGGGTGCTTAGGTCAAATAAAGCCCGATCTTTACGAAAATCGACAGAATAATCAAGGCTTATGTCAAATTTAGTTTTGTCGAGAAACTAGTATATTTAACATAATTATGGTCTAAAGGTGCTTTTCGGGAGTTCTGGTTTTATAGAGGCAAGGTGAAATAATGGACCGTTTCGATCAATTTCAATAAGCTTAGCCTCTGAACTAAAAAAGTATTTCATGCAATTATCTGGAAAATTCCGGTCTTTGATAACGTTTACATAGACGCCATTAAATCGACTCAGAAAGTGATTCTGAATCCAATGGTACGTGAGAGTAGGATCAATATTTTAGTGTGTTTTAAACATCAGCAAAACGCATAATAGACTCTGCACTAAATAATAATATAGTGTAGTTGTTTCGAAAGTTTTGGTAGACCATAATTATTTGTTTTATATTTTTTCATCCTCGTAAATGTATTTATACAAAAATTTATTTTCACTGCATAACAGTAAAATAATAAATTCACTAATCCTTTTTACATTTGTTGGCTTATAAAAAGCAATTTACCGACAGAAACAACAACAGTAAAAATAATACGAATTTACATATTTTTCTCCATCCTTTTACAACCATTCTGTTTCCGTTTCCATGAAAAAAGCAAAAGCTTGCATATACGAAGTATTTGTTTTTTCTCTATTTTGTTTTGGCAATTATCAAACAATTTACAATTTTAAAAGGCTTAATAATTACAGAAACTCTGTTTGCCAAAAATATAACAAATTCTAATATATTTTGACTTTTCACTTGAAAATGTTGGGACTGAACGAGGCAACGTAAAGCTTTCAAATAATTTATATTTCACAACTACATATCATCGCAATTACAAAATCAGTTTACAACAAACATAAATATTAAGCTGTGACGTTAAATGTTTGACGGGAAGGTAGAGAGGGCGAGAGACTGTCGGAAAGGAAGTGAATGTATTTAATGAAAAACACCTATTTATTTACAGTCAACATTTAGGGATTAAAAACTTTTTCTATCATGTCTGCAATGCTTACGCAGGGATTAATTAAATTAATTTTACGATTGCATTTGTAATTTAATGTTTCGTCGCTACACTGTTATACACTTCTTTTGTAAGCAACAACCATTTATAGGCAACCAAATACGACAACTATGTAAAAATATAAAAAATAAAATGAAATTAAATAAAACCTTAGTTGTGATACATATTGTTGGTATAAATACTATATACGTACATTCATATGTATGTATGTTTATGCATTTGCGTTTATGTTGATTTGCAAAATTTGTTTGTTGAAATTAGAATGTAATTGTATGCGTACTATTATTTATTGTGGTTTAGAGTTTAAAGGTATGAATGTAAGGGTGGTCACACACACGCTTATATACACACATATCTACATGGCCAACATTTATTATCATTGTATTCAAATTTATTATCATCGCTTTGTAATATGAAAATGCGAATATGGCAGTGGTATGTTCTTACCACTTGTTTTGATTCTGAAACAAGTGTCCTGTGTATTTCACAATACATATGCATATGTATGTACATTCGCGCGTTTTGTGTTATCAGAAATAGTGACTGAATAAAATCCATCCGTACATATGCTTTTCGCACACACTTACCCAAACGCCCCCTAAATGAATATTGCCTGGTAATGGTTGGTGGTTTTCGATTTGTTCGTTTTTCAGAATTTTCTTTTTTACTACTCGTTTTTGTAAAATTGCCTAAAATTGCATGCTATAAATTTACGTTTGTGCGCAAATTTTAATTAATTAATCGCTGCATTTGCATAGAAAAAAAAACGAATACGAAACAGAACTAGATTTTAAATGCATACGTTCTAATAAATTTGTATTTGTGTGTATGTAAGTTTATCTATTCGTATGTTTATTGTCCGTATGTTATTTGCGGTTTTGTCTTTTGCAAACGTTTTCCAAATTTCTAACAAAACTTCTGGTTTAGTGGTTCACCACTACTAAGCCGCGAAAATGCCTAATGTGTTTCATTTTTTTGTATTATGTATTTTGATTAAATGCAGATTTTGACCATATTCAGTAGACGATATGTGATTTAAATAAACAAGGAAAACTTTTGCAGATATATTTTTATTATTTAGTAAAGAATTTAACTTATGCCCACTATTAAATACAAATTTTAGATTTAATGGGAAAAAAGTTGATTTATATTAACAGTTCAGAGTTAAACTATTACATTTAAACGCAAAATACGTATATTCGTATATAAATACATGTACATTTGTTTGTTTTTTGGCATTTTACAATTTCTAACTTATAACTAAATCGTGAGAAAGTTTAAATTGAAATTAAATTCTTAACATGACTTAGTTTAAACAATTAAACCAAAAATTCCTCACACACCGAAAATAGTATACACTTTTGAAAGTAGATAAAATTAAATAAAATCATTAGAACGGCGCTTATGTTCTACTAATTTTTTCTATTTGACATAAACAAATTTTTATAAAAAATAATCCTAGTCACTTCTCGAATTCTAAAGAGTTCGGTCCATAATTGAGCTAATATCCCATTAAAGGTCCTCTTCTGAAAAGTTCCTATTGTTCATATTTACATATATTAATATATGAAAGTATGATAAGGTTTTGATGATGGGTATATAAGTCTGCTAAACTTACTTGTTATCAATTTCGAAAGAGCATGTGGGCAATTCCATGAAAATGTAAACACGACTGAAAAAATAAAACCCTGTATGGAATTTTTGAATTCAACAAAGCTTGATGTGTGGTCTTTTGTTGCACCAAAGACCCAGGCTATTTTTTAAAATCGGTCCATTGACGCCACCGAACCTTGTCGCTATACAAATGGGCCCTCAAATATCGCTTTTTAGGACATAACTCTGTTACTTATGAGCTAAAAATTAAGGGAATAGTATCCCCTCATAAATCGGTAGATCTAAAATGTATAATGTATATAATACCAGTTTTAATATTTAAATATTATGGATTACGAAGTGTAAGAAATTAAAACAAAAAATATACTCCTACAGAATTCTAAAATTTTGTATATATTTATATATACTTTAAAAGCTTTTTCGTTTTTTGTCACGTATGATATCGCCTGATTTTAATCAATATATTGGAACACAAGGTTCCTAATGGTTTTTGATTGATGATTTTTTCCAAGTTCTCTGATTTGGAACAACTACTATGGAGGTATACAAAGGTCACACACAATCGTAGGGAATTGCCCATATAATAAAGTTGCCAAATATCAAATTTATGATACTCATTCTCTGTGTCACATGCACCCATCCCCTTCAATACCGAAATAAATATACATATATACATACATATGTTGTAGGAGTATTTTATGAATAAAAATGCACACATATATGCGGCAAGTCAAATAAATGTTCATACAAACATACATATTGTAGTCTTGTATCTGCATAGAGCTATTGGCAAGTGTGAAAAATTGCCATAAATTAATAATCGATTAAATTAAAATAATTAATTACTAGTAAAAACGAAATGGTTGCATGCAGCAGAATATAAATAAATGTAAAACTGCAATGAAGTTAAAAAATTGTGAATACATCTACACATACAATCTATAATTCATGCAGTGAATGCAGCATATTGAAAAAAGTGCTACATTACAACTGTTCAACGTTGAGAAGAAGAAATATATTTAAAAAAAATGAAAGTGCTTAAAAAACGATGTTAATAATGTGGTGAGAATACATAATTTATAAATAAACAATCTTATACACACAAGTGTATGTATTTCTGCACATGTACGAAAATATATAAATACATAAAAATCAATGTAAATTACTTTAATAATAATTATATAAATCATTATCATTATGAGTATAAACGAATTATTTAAAAGAGCAATTATAACAATTATCACTATCAGAGCATAATCAAACACACATAAATCTGGGCATCTGGTTCAATTTTTTTCCACCTTTCTTGTTTTTTTTTTTTTTAATTTGTGATTGCTCGGAACACAAGAAGAAATCATTCTATTTTTGAACTCGTTCAGATGTAAATACATTTGTATATTTTTATATATGTACATCTACACATGTACATATGTAAATGCATTCCCTGTGGTTGTTTTCGTTAATAATTATGGTTAATGAAAAGTTAATTATTGCTAAATATTGTAATAATTATTTAGTTCATTATTTGTTTTCATTAACTGTTGATTTTAAATTTATTGTTAATAAATTTTCATTTCACTTTTATCCATTCATTAATTCACTCTTTCGTTCACTCATTCATCGTAGACCAAGTCCATAATTATCACTCATGTCAGATCGTCATTTAGTCGATGTGTTCTGTTCATTCATTCATTTAGCATTGATTGTGATTATTATTATAAATTAAATACTATTATTTTTTCCCGCTTATAATAGAGTTGTCTCTATTTTTAGAGTGTATTGTGTATTATCTGTAGTGGATAATTGCAAATCGGAAGTATATTTAAGAAATTAGTTTAATTATTTAAATAGTTAAAATTAAAGTAAAATATTATTCAATGATTAACATTAATTTACTGTAACCATATAATTGTATGTTGTTTAAAGACTGTTTGCATTTCAATTTGTTATTATAGAGTTAAAAATGAAACAGTAAACATGTGTGGGAATCTAAAGATCATCTACTAAACACACTTACCCAAAACATTGGCTCCCAGATTGTTCAGCATGTTTGCCGAAAAGTTTCTAATTGATAATGTCGACAGTTTGCCGCTTTAGTCAGTGTCCTTGATTTAAAGTGTAATCTGTAATTTTAAAAATCTCTTGGCCAAGGAATGAATTTTATCACAGTTGATTTGTTATACACATTTTTCTACAGGATTCACACTATGGAGATCTGAAATTGTACAAAAATAGTAGAAAATCTAGTATTTTATTGTAAATATACATATTATAAAAAAGATCAATTTGTTTGTTCATATTCACTGAAACAATTTTCAATAAAAGAAAGCAACCCACAGATAACTTTTAAGCAGTAATATGTAATATTTTTACGTTGTATGTAATTAAACATTTTCAAAATAGTAAGAGTGCTACATTCGGCCATGCCGAATCTTATATACATATTATCCAACCGTGTGCAGTGAAAGGGTATATACATTAGGGTAATATTTGTAATGGGTTTAAGTCAATTATCGACCTAGCTCTTTCGAATAAAGAAAATATAACTTTTTTAAACCATGAACATACATATAGTATTTCATCGTAATACTCGTATTTTTACTTTAACTTACTTATGTCCACTATTATCGCTATACTCGTATTTTTAAGACAGTAATGAGCATTTCTTTTAGGGTATATAAGATTCGGCATAGCCGAATATAACACTCTTTCATAAATAACTTTTGAATAAATCATATGATTAATATGTACATTTTATTACATTTTGGAGCGCAAAATACCACAGCACTACCTTATAGCAAATATTGTTCTGATAATAAAAATCTATTTTTGAAGTCAATTTGGTGAAAAAACTTCTCCCACCAAAAGCAATATCTAATGCTTTTGTTCGTAATTGTTTTTTTTTTTAAGTATTTTAATTATTTTCATATGAATGAATACCATTATCTAAAATATGCAATATTATCGCGATTTATTAGGAATACCATAACAGGGTTGTAAAGAACAATTTTCTCTTTAATATAATGTAATAAAAAGGCATTATTAATGGGTTATAATTTCCAAACCTATTTTTTAAAAATAAAATTCTGAGATATCTTTATGCCAATCCGAACTATAGCATGACTTGCACTATAGAACACAATATCTGCCACAGCCAAGGCTGTAGCTGTATAAATGTGGTTGGGTTGTCCTTTTCATCGCTTGTTGTTATCCTGATTAAAAAGATTCTGAATGAACCAATTGAGTGGGTGCGAATATGTACACTTCACTGATAACTTTTTGGCAACTAACGAAAAACTAACGTTCATAATACTCACCGACGGATTTCTTATTTCGAGATATACAAATTAGTAATCTTTCAAAAGTTAATGCATATATGTATATACATACGATGTATCTCTAATTTACTACTAGACTGGCATAATTCAAAAAAAGTCGTTTCCAGAAAAATGTTTTTAGATGTTTATTCAAACTATTAACCGTTGATCGGTTAATCAATTATAAATTCTTTTGGAAGTACTTAGTTTTTTTTTTTGCAGGGTACGTTCTGTAAATATAATTAAGCCAATGATAATCCTCCAACATTTACTTTAAATTTGCTTTTATTTAACCTGTTTGGGATATGAAGGAATAATGATGCGATCTAGAACCAGTAGTTCTTCTAATCAGTTGTTACTAATATATGTGTGTTCGAGTTTTTATTTTAACTATTTCTATTTTGCAAATTAAAAAAAAAAACTTATTTAAAAAATTGACAAAAAATTAACTCGAAGAAGTGGAAAATTATATTGTTTGTTATTATTAATATTTCCATTTATTTGATTAACCGAATAGTTTTTAATTGTCCTGTTATTAACCGGCTAAAATAAAACCTCAAATAATCATTTGTCAAATAAACCAAAGAATACAAAACCACGAATAATTGAGTACAAACTGACATTTTGGAGAACTTTTAATTTGAAAAATTAAACAAGTTTCAGATAGTAAAGTTTAATACGTTTCTCATCTAAATTGGAATTTAATTCTTATTTATCTAATATTCGTTAAAACAATCTAACACCGAAAATAATAGACATAATTTTAATTTGATAAAACTATATGAAAAACTTTAGTATGACGCATGTTTTGTAGCCCTCATTTCAAAAACCTCGAATTTTGTTGTAAATGAACAATATGTTTGTATGTAAGTATGCATATAAATAAAGGTTTATTTAATATTTCCCACAATCTTTTGCTAGTTTTATTAAACATAAAATGTTCTTTATTTTTATATTCATAATAAAGTATCCTAAGTGGGCATATAGAAACATAAGGTCATTTAAACTTACCTTTGCATCGATGACCATTTAAGCCAAATTGGAAAAAATCCATAAAAAGTAAGAAGCAGTCGTTGTAAAAGTAGTCGGAAAAGATTTAATTAAATGAAATGTTTTGGTTTTATGGCACAAACACCAATTCAATTGCCATAAAGAGACTCATTAAATAGGTGGTGGTGAGGAATGAGAGATTCTTTTTAGATAAAGGTTGGTCGAACACTTATTCCCATTACAAGAACAAAATTGTTTGTTGTTATTATTATTTTGGTTTCTTAGTTATAAGTTTACACATAAAGACACGCGATCTTTAACTAGAAGATGAATTTAATTTACACAATTATTTTATTTTTATTTACACAATTATAAATTTCTCTTTTAATTTTGTGATTAAGCATTAATTTAATATTTTACTGAAGTGCTACACCAGTGGTGAATATTTTTATTAAATAATACTTTTATAATTTTTAGAATATTTAAACATATATATCCATTTATTGATTTTTCGTATACATATTTGATTGTACTTTTCTTTCTTTTTTTTTTTGTGTTTTATATTTTTGCCCTAGGGACTAAAGTTTTAGTACATAGTTGGCACTTCCGGTTGTGATTTTCTTTAGGATTTTGTTGCGTGTTGTATTGTGCTGTTAAACCGCGCGTTATACTCGCAGTGCAGACGATTCGCATTTGACAATGAGGCAGTCAAAAAAGTATCGAAACGTTGATATGCCTCAATAGTTTACAAAATAAGCAAACGCAAAATAAATTCAATTGTATTGCGAATTATACAAGATAGACAGATAGATACTTTTGCCCACAAGGCGCCCACTCTCGTTGTCGTTGTAGTCGTCTTCGCATTGTTTCACAACGCATTGCAATCAACAAACCCACCCCATTTTTTTAGTCTCAGTTTCATGATAATCGGAAATACGCGAAAATCACTTTTTATGATTTTTGGATAAACTCTATACTATTGCGTTTTAATTCTTTTATTCTGTCTACAAAACCAACAAAACAAAAAAAACGCAGAAAAACAAAATAAGTTTTGTCTCTTAATATACAGAATCAAAGGGAAATGTATTCAGTGTCAAATGAGAGTAACAAAGACAAAGTTATTCTGAAACTTGACTCCATTGATTTTTCACAAGATGGCCATTTAAATGGGGGTGGGGATGTACATATCTGTCTATCTGTGTGCTTTAGTCCTCAACAGTTTATCTCCAGTTTTATCATTGATGTACCGTTTTTTATGAATTGAGAACAGCAGGTTGCTTTGCAATGCCATGGCTGGTGAATTTCTGTCATCTTTATGCTGTCACTCTCTTACATACATTATTAATGAAGCTGCTCTTTCACACACAAGGCGTGGCCAAGTTACTGACTATTTTATCTCTCTCTTTCTCTTTGTGTCTATTGTGAATGATTGCATTACGCAAGTTTCTATTCACCTGTTTGGTATTTGTTGTATTTTCATTATTTGTTATTGTGTTTGATTTGTTTTGTTTATTTTAAAAAATACCTCTCCATTTGGATATTGGTTTCAAATAAACATGGTGTTTATTTAGAATTGTTGTTCAAGTTAGAATCGCTTCATTATATTTCTTTATACAAATATGTTCCTTTAATATAGTGCCGATTTCTGAATTGCCTTGTACTTTAGAAACTAATTATTATTTTATGAAGAAGAGGTATCAAAATGTCAATACTGGCATTTTGATATCATTAGGTGAAGCCAAAATCGGGTCAAAACATAATTTCGAATAAAACGACTTTGAATTGTATTATTTTTTAAATAATTTTAATAATAACCATCGATTTGGCTCTGAATTATAAGGGAATAATTTTAAGCATTCTAATTTTTTATTAATAATAATAAAACATATCAAAAAATCATATTCACACATAAATTGTAAAAAAGATTAAACTATCTTAAAAAGCACAATGGACGCATCTACTAAGTCTACTTTACAGATTTTTATATCCTACACCACTATGGTGGGGAGGGTATTATGCGTTTGTGCTGATGTTTATAACACCTAAAAATAGTGGTCCTACACCCACCTTAAAGTATACCAATCGACTCAGAATCACATTCTTTATTATATAGCGGACCCATACAACTGAATAGGACTTTTGAGCTTATAATAATGTTAAATATTGTATAATCTCTACAAATTCGGAAAATCTTAGTTTTTCTATAAATTCTGCATAAATAACTTTAATATCATCGTAAATCACTCTACCAAAATGTATACGGATAGGACCATATTTACCTTTGCCCCCATATAAACCCTCTTTCAGAAACACACTTTTTGGTAACAATTTTTTAAAATATTTCGGAATCAAGGAATTATTCGAAAAATAACCAAAATTAGTAACATAATCACTGGTATAGGGTATCATATGGGCGGCGAAGCATTATTTTGATTAAAAAATTCCATTAAATTTACTGTATACTGGATTTTTTTTTATACCCACCATCAAAAATGAATGGATTTTGTCATTCCGTTTGTAGCACATCGAAATATTGCTAATAGACCCCATAATATTCTGAAACCACGTAAGATTCTCAGACGATCACGCAATGTTCGTCTGTTGAAAGCACGATAGGGTTCGAACGAAAAGAGGCAGAGAGTTGAAATTTTCCATAATTATTCAATATAGAAAAGGTTTTTTTGGTTTTAACGGTCATAACTGTTTTACGAATTCAAGTATACCGATGAAATTCGACATAGACAAGTGTTATATTAACTAAAATCTCTCATAATTGACCCTAGCTCCCATAAAAGATCCCCTTAAGAAAATAACTTTAACGCTCATTACTGATTTAGAAATAGGAGTACAGTGATGAAATTATATAGGTATAAGCAAATTTTATATGAACGGAGATCTAACTACCCAATTTTATGAGGATCGGTCCACAATTAACTCTACAAAAATATATATTTAATGTTGGCTTAAAATACGAGTACAGCTATGAAATTCGACATAAGTAAATTTTATACAAACGGAGATCCAGCTTCCTAATTTTATGAGGATCAGTCCATTATTGACCTTATCTCATATATCAGGTCCCCTTCAGAAAATGTCTTTAACGCTCATTTGTGGCTTTGAAATATGATTATAGCAAGGAAATTCGACAAAAACAAGTTTAATGTAAACGAAAATTCCTCTATCAAATTTTACGAAGAGCAGTCTATAATTGTCCCTACCCCCATTTATGTTTTATACGAACTGAAATCTCTCTTACTGATTGTATGAGGATTGTTGCATAATTAAACCTACCCACATATAAAGCACCCTTCAACAAATTACTTTAACTCTCATTTCGACCAAAATCTATGTACAAAATTTTATGAGGATGGGTCCATAATTATCCCATGTAGGGTTCCCTTCAGGAAATAGCTTTAAAGCTCATAACTGATTTAAAAATACTGAATTAAAATGGTAATTAAGTTTACCTATTTTTGTAATTAATTATAGATTAGCTGTTTCTTTACTTTATAATTCCGAACGTCTATGTCAACAATTCAGTTAAGCCCTATTCCAAATATCACTCTGATGTTCATAGTAATATCGATTATAAAATTCAACATAAATCTAATAAATGAGTAAATCATTTTGACAATAACAGATGCATCGATTCATAAATATCAAGGTTTAATTATAGGGTAGCCTTCATAGCCATATTTTTATTTTGCCTTTTTTTAAAAGTAGAATATCTACATCGACAGTCATTTCTAATTGTTTGCAAATCTTCTCAAAATGTAAATTTTAATATCTATTAAAAGTATTGTCAGCGAAAAGGAAAAAACAATGTTTAAAATATTTATTAAACTAACAAAGGAACCAACACACATGGTTATACACACCATTCGTAAAGAATTTTGCAATAATGTCTCCATGATGCTTTTATGTGCATACACACATACATTTCCTTTTTTCCTCTTTTTGAGGTTTCATAACAACAGGTGAAATATTGAAAGGTAAAAAGAACTATTCAGCACTTGTGTGGCGCGTGTAGCGAATGAGTGAAATTATTTTATTTTTTCCTTTGATTATGAATGTATCTACAGCATCAATGTACATTCTTAAAATGGTAGTGAAACTATTGTATTTATTTTTGCAGTACCTTTTGATTTCCGTTTTTGTTGGCGGTTGATGTTATTTCTTTTTAATATTAAATATTGTTATGACTACCAGGTCTTATATCTGAATATTTGTATAAATGTCGAGGCGAGTGGCATTCAAAGTTTTCGTGACGCGTGTCTTTGGTATCTACGATATAATATTGTTAATACTATAATGGTTGTCATCTTGTGTTATGTTGTGTTATTTTTTTAAACCGTTTTTATTAAAACAATAAACATTTATTTCTTCATCAAATTATTGCTTCGGTTACTACATTTTGTGTCCGTTAGTCGACATTTATAACACATACATATGTACATGCGCCACTATAAGGTGTGTATTATTATGTTAAGCGGATTATATTCGGCTGTTCTGAACGATTTTTTGATATTCGAAACATTTCTGATAAAATTATTCAAGATTTAGATCCCGTAGATATTTGGGGTCTTCAGAAAATATATTTTAACCACATACAGACAGCGGTCATAGTTAAATCGACTTCGTTGGCATTCAGAATATACATACATAAGTACATATGTATATCGCAAAATTAGAGTATGAAAATTACAAACGAAATGACAAACTTATATGTGTATACCGTTTCTACGAAGGTGAAAAGTCTAATTGAATAATAAAAAAACAGCAAGATTTCAAATTGTTTTATTTGTCTTATGAATTTGAATAAACTTTTTATGTGAATCTGTTCAAGATGTCGAAGTGCCTTATATGACAGTTGGCCTCATATCACGGTGGTACTTTTTCACCCACAGGGTAAGCTAATTAGACGACTCACCACCCCCTATTTTGCTTACACGCCAGTCGATGTACTAGCGCTTTTCTCAAGTACTCGAGGTATCTAATCTCTGACCATTACTTCCCGTTGCTTAACATTTTAAAATATCGGGTTTTTCATGCTAGAAAACAATATTTTTGTTTTACTTGGTTTTTTGATTGTACATTTTTTCACTTGATTTATTTCCTTGTATCTATATAATTTTGTTGAAAAATTCTTTGTCCTTTTGGAAAATTTTCTTATAAAATTCCAATATTAATTCTTCAAATATTTCTTTTCATATAAAAATGTTTGCACACACACAGACATCGGTTTATAGGTTTATATACAAATGTACATTAGGATGGCTCCAGGACAATAGTATGTATCTTGTTGCAGGAAAATTTTTTATTGAATATAAATATTGTCACACATTTTCAGAACTCTATTATTAACTATACCACCCCCAGGGACATGTTACCTTGATGAACCTTTCCATTTTGGTGTTATTGCAAGCTTGGGAAAAGAGGTGCTACCAGTCTTCCGGGACTATAAACTGGTGTTAATCAAATCTAACCTAGGCCTTCCCTTGGTATGATTTGACATGGTGACGAACAGAGCACCAGGAGGGGTGGTACTACGGGTGACCAGTTGCACGCAGGACTTTGTCCTGCTGGTCAGTTAGTTGAGGTTCCTACATGTTCCACGTAGTGGCTGTGGTTTAAATCCAAATTCGCAGAAAGGGGCGCTTAGTTGATGAACGGTAATATATAATTTTCGGGATAAGTTTCTGTTACAGATCCTAGTTACTAGGAGCGCTGCAATCGTGTCGAAATTGAGTAGAACTAGAAACTGTTTTAATATATTGAGATTGAGATAAATTGGTATTCAGTATAATTAATATATAAGGTTAATATCTGGTCTAGGTCCTA